ATTCTCTTTACTCCTAGTTGTAGAATTTCCACTCAGCCAGCCCTCCTGTGGCTCTGGACGTTGTCCTTTCCCTGGATCAAGCTTAATTTGACTTAGTTGTTCCAGGCAGCAATCTCTGGTGTTAACCTATGCCGCCATCTTCGGTTCTCCATCTTGAATATTTTTTTCAACATTTTACCAAAGGAGGAGCAAAGAGGGAAACTTGGCATGTCAGAAATCTAAAATCTGTAAGGAAACTGACACAAAGCAGGATAATAATGTCACAAGCTCAGAGCCGGAGAAACTTAAAATTACCAACATTCTTGTTCCAGCAAGACAGTAAATACTATCTTTGCAGCAAGGAAGTGCTAAGCAGCTGGGGGCAAAGAGGTAACCGGTGCAGGTGTGAGAAAACTGTCTGCCATTTAGGATGGGAATTGTGGATCCAACTTGTGAAATCCTCATATTTTACAAACCAAAAAAACTGGGAGGGGGGACAGGGGGGAGGGAGTAGGGGGTGTGCAACAAACTTATTATGTGTCAAATAAATTAATGTCACTTTCAATATATTCTGAGATTCTCTTTAACATTCACTCGCCCTAAATATCAAGTGTCCCTTGCCATGCACAGGATTCGCCAAATCCTGATGACACCCTGGTAATTTCGTGGGGTTCAATCCTCTTTTAATAGAAATCAGTCATCAAGTACATGCGTACGTTATTCCCAGAGTGGCTGCCCTGCTCTAACTCAGTGCTTGGGCCTGGTGGGGAAAACTGTATTTGGGTAGCATTAAAGTCAAGGTTATAGGAAATGACCTTTATTTATGAGGGAAGCTGTCATCTAAACGTTGCTTCAACAACTTGGTTTTATAAGTCACACTGCTTGCCATCTGCCTTTACAAGCAAAAGCCATGGGAAACGGTGAAATCCAATAGCAAGGCACTCTTTTCCATCCTGGATACCTTCTCTAAGGTGTTAAGCTCCGTCTGGACCCTTTCTCACTAAACTTATATCACCACAGTTTTTAGTTATGTTCCCCTTGTTCGTGTTTAAAGTTAAAGAAAGATGGACTAATACAAAGTATGCTATCTCAATGGTATGCTACATTCAAATGCAGTAAAATATTTTCTTTGACTAGAATTTTTGGGTAAGTAGCTGAACACAGGGTCTTAACGGAGCTACTCTGAAAGGAACACAAAATATGGTTTTAACTACTAAACAAATTGTGAATTCTGGGGAATGATTTAAAACTGGTTTAAAAGGCACTGTAAATGATTGCTGTTTTTCCCTTCTTGCTTTCGGGCCATGGGTTAGAGAGTCCTGGCTGGTGGTAAAATAACTTAATGACCTCGGCCCTATTTAGTGTAGCAGCTGGTCACAAAGAGGCTATTCCAACAGTCCACACAACTGGCCACTTTGTAATATCTCGTGGGAAAATACGTGTCAGCATCAATGCTCTCGGTCAAAACCAAAATAAGAACATCTAGAGTCTGCTTATTGGTTGTAAAAATAATAATAAGATTTGGATGTTCTGCCCTGGCTCATGGTGCCCAATGGTGAGGATGTTGACCCAGTCACGAGCACATACCAGGGTTGCAGGTTCAAGCCCAGCTCCAGTTGATGTCTCTCACATGGATGTTTCTCTCTCTCTCTCTCTTTCTCCATCTCTCTCTCTCTCTTTTTCTAAAACTCAATAAATAATAAATAAGAACTAACCCAAAAAATAGAACTAATCCGAATAATTACATAATCCTAAATATGTAAAGGAAAACATTTTATAAAGGGTTATTTATCAAGGATTACTTCTGATATAAATATAAATTGACAATTGTTTTCAACCAATTCATGAATTTAGTTCATAAAAGTAATAAAATTAAGCTGTAATGTTTAAAACTATGCATAGTAAAATTTAGAACAGGAAAAGCTGACCTGTGAATAATCAGATTAAAAAACAATGGGCACACACAAAACCTCTTAGTGGCACAAGTGATAATTGGTATGAACAAAAGAAAATTTGATATATAAACATCTTCATTGTAAAATTGAAAAGAACTGACCTCACGGGAAGAAAATTAGTACAATAAAAAAAATTAACATGAAAATGAGAAACTATTATGTTGGGTAGAGAATCGGGAAATTAAATGGACATAATGGTATTCACGCCATGAAATTTTTCTTGACAAAAATAGTTATATAGTTCTGCTTAAAAAAATTTTTCCCATAGATATAGAGTCAAAATTTTTCCCATGGATGTAGGTCAAAACAGCAAGATCAGAACATCCAGTAGTTCAAAATGACAGGGTCAGAACACTTTGGCTACAGCTCAGGGCATTCTGACTTTACTGCAACTGTTTCTGTTCAGAAATGCCAAATATTTTATGTCTTCTCAGTGCCTTCTTTGTAACTTAGCATTTCACCTCAACAAGTTGGTACAGCTCTGGCATGTATCTGGCACACTGGCACTCAGAAACTACTCAGTTATAAGATGCCATGATTTAGATTGTGCCAACTTGTTCATTGAAATTTTGAATTGTAGACACTGCATTCAGGAGGCTTATAAAAAATCTTTTGCCATCATTGGATTTGAGAAGCTACAATTAAGCCAGGATGCCTTGAGGAAGTCAGAGCATGAGACCTGGACCCAGCTCTATCTTCTTTTACCGGAACTGGTTTATGAGATTGCAGAGGTAGAATAAGTGCCAAGTTCAAAATTGTCAAGGCGTTAGTATTGCAGGGACCAGTGACTTCTTACTCAATCGCCCTTTCCCTTTGAGTAATCAGCTGGCCAAATACTACATGGCCAAAGCAAGAGAGTTAAAAAATGAAAGCAATTTATGACCTCATAGTTCATTCAAAACTAAAATCAGGATGTACTCTTCAGAACCAATGTTCTGTTTACTCAGCTTTCCCAAAGAATTTCCTTCCCACTATCCTAGATGAATGTCACTCAGCTCTCAGGGTGCAGCTGACATCTGCTTCCCCGAAGGCCTCCCCACACAGTTCCGGCCACTTTCTCCATTCTGTACCCCTCTTGGGGACCTTTTGTCACACACTCCCTTGCACCATTACTTAACCCTTGCCATCCCCCTCCTCTGCAAGTTGTGAGAACAGTTCAGTGATGCCCACAAAATTGACAATAGGAAAATAAGACTAAGTCCAGAGAATTAATTGATGGAATGGCCACAACACTGCAATACCTCTCAGGCCTGAAAAACATATTTGTAAATCAGATGGGAGCTATGAAGCAATCCAAAGAGAGCCTGAATCTTTTAGAGGCAGTGGCAGGGTTGCAGATGGGTTTGGGGACAGCCAGGAGTGTCAGCCTTAGAAGCCCAGAATAAGGTTATCCACAAAGGAAAAGGTTAGTGGTACTGTCCATACCAGGTCTTCATGGGGGGCATAGTCATGGAGGCCCATGCACAGGACAGTCTTGTCCAGTAGAGCTCCTCCCAAACTGACTTGAGAATCTACCCAGTCGCAGAGAGATAAACCTGTTGTGAAGGTGGTCATATCATCCAGCGCCTGTTACCATTTCTGCATCTCCATTTGCCTCTCCCCATAGCAATCACCACACGATAGCCCCACTAAATTTGCTACCATGCTTTCTCTTGTCTCCAAAACTTTTACTCCCTCCATCAAGCTTCCCCCACATTGTCTGGCTAAGTCATCCTTCAGCTCTCTGCTAAGATATCACTACCTCCAGGAAACCTTCTCTGTTCCCCACCCAGCTCTGGGGCGGGCCCTTCCTAATGTGTTCAAATAGAACCTTCTGTTTCAATCATATGTGTCCCCCTTTGTTATCATTGTCACAAAATTTGCTTGTCTGTATGCCTCACTTGACTGTCAGCTCTATGAAGGCAGGGACTATGCCTGTCTTGATCACCAGTGTATCTCACAGACGTATTTGGTACTCAATCTATTTGTTGAATGAAAGCATTAATTGATTAGCTCATTAACCAGGCTAACAAACCATTAAATCATCTAAATTCTTGTTCTAATCTCATGCTCATTAAGGGACCGTAACAACCATCTCTGATCAATGTTAGAGGTATATTTCTAGTGTTCAAATAATTGCCATTTTCATTTTACACATCAGTCTTTTGTGAGTTTTGCCAATGGGAGTGGGCCATTAAGCACAGCTCTGAAACAGAGATTATGTTTTTGGACTTATTGCTGAGAGCAGATTCTGGGTATACCAAAGGCTCCCAACAGAAAGGTCTGTCTGTTTTTCCCAAGAAGCAGCCCCTTACAGCATAGTGAACTCATTTCCATTTTGAACTTTACCTAGTGTAGAACTATCAAAGCAGGCTTTCAATAAACACTTGTCGCAGGAATAAAAGACAATAGAAACACTATGTATGCTCAAGAAATTCACACACAGACACTGTCTTTTTAGATATTTATAGAATTTCATTATATCACTTTTCACTTCATGGCCCCATAGTTCTGTTTTTTGTTGTTGTTGTTTTAATTAATATGTGGAGGAGGAAAAATAGTTTTCCCCCTATACTTCTAGGATCTTGGCTGAAACCCTCTCCACCCCCATAATAAAAGATAGATTAAAAGGAGAAAAACAGCCGAAACCGGTTTGGCTCAGTGGATAGAGCGTCGGCCTATGGACTGAAAGGTCCCAGGTTTGATTCCGGTCAAGGGCATGTACCT